ATTCTTCATCCTGCTTGACCACTGATGGGTGTTTCTTCAGAAAGCAAACCTCTTGGAGAGCAGATTCTTCTGAGTCAGCCTGTCACTTAGGGTCCATGCTCTGGCCCCATGCTGACTTTCCAGCCACTCCTACTAACATTCTTTTATTCCCACATTTTCACCCCATGCACTGGACTTTAAGTGGACCCAGTACTTGCCTACTTCTGCTCCCTTCTACAACTGAACCTTCAATTTGGCATTTACTTCTTCCTGCTTTATCTCCATCTGTCGAAATCATATCCATCCTTTAGTGCCCAAGTCAAACATCACCTGTTCCAGATAGCTGTTCATGATTTTCCCAGTTAGATTTCTTTGATCTTCTTCTACTCTCCCTCCAGTAGCATTGTGTTCATATCTCTGTCATGAGCCTTTGTACATTCTGCCTTTAGCTATTTTTCTTTCCCTCCAAGGTAATAACTCGGAGTACTCAGGTTCATAGAGGTGTCATTGGTGAGAAAAGCCCTAGAATATAGCAGGTGCTCAATAAAATCTTGATGCATAAATTGTCAATGGTCAGAAAAGAAGAAATAAGCACTGGCAGACACAGTCAGGTCAGTCTCATAGAGGAGATGCCCTGAAGCGTTGTGTAGTCTTTCGGTGTGACAGAAATTTTGGTTGACCTTATTTCACCCTGGTTGCAAGTAACTCATAAAATCTACCATATGCTTACTGTGCTGCAGGCATTGGACAAGTGCTTTTGATGCATCATTCTACTCATTCTCATAACCCTTTCAGGGGAGTACTGTGATTATCCCTCTCATTTAGATTAAAGCCTCATCTATAAAATGAGCCTGCAAGTGCTCATGTAATTTGTTAGAGGTCATGCAGCTGAAACTGCACTGAGCTGGGACATGCACTCAAAGTTGAAAGGTTGAAACCAAACCAAAGTCGAAACGAAAGGTTGGTTGGGGCTAAAGCCTAATCTCTTAATAACTACATTGTACTGTTTCCACACTAAACAATTTTTTCAGATTTAAGAAGTTTCATAAAATCTACATTTAGTGTCAATCACTAGAGTCTAAAACTTGAGCTCAAATTCCAGTCCCTGACTATTCTTGATTTGTGGTTTGATGTTCCTCTGTGGGCTATGGAGATACCTGTCATTCTTGCCATACCCCTGGCTTTCTCTCTTACTACCTTAAGAAAGAAAGCTGATGTTTTCACTAAAGTCATATAGAATTTCATATTCTTCTTGAAGAGCTGTTGATCTCACCTTCAAAATTCATCCATGTTCTCCTTGGTCATGGGGAAGTCATATGTTGTGTTATTGACCTGGTGTAGGAAATAGCTTTGTTCCTTTCCTTGGAGGGGATAAATCCACGTATGATAGATTATATGCCTTCAGAAATAATTACCTTACAGAGCACTATAATCTCCAATGTATAAGTTCATTGATAGGAGAAAAAATTCCGCCTTTTCAAGGTTATTTTATTTCTTACTGTATTGTGGGGTGAATGCTATTGTCTATTTCCCAATGGTGGGTTGGACTTGCCTAGATTATAGAACAGGAAGTTTCTGAACAAACAGTGATGGTAGCTGAGTTAATATTGCCTGCCATTTACTAATTACTTAGTAGTTTCTAAGTGTAAAATGGCATGAGTTACCATAAGTTGCACAACGTATTTAATATCTTGAGACATTATATCCATGGCCAGACATTAAACCCAGCTTTCTTCAAACTGGTATGGAAAGAGAGAGGGGTGAAGTATAGTAAAAATGTCTTTCTGTCTTGCCTTTAAAGACATAACACATTAAGGGTTTTCCATAAGCCCACAATATTCAAACATGGTAAAATCTCTTTTAGGATTCATTATATCATCTCAGTCTTCATTTACTGGAAAGTTTTACTTAAAAGTAAGTGTGCCCTTGATATTTCCTAATCAAGAAATAAATTTTGGTGATTTTAATCTAGCAATCTAATTTATTATAGTAACAAGCTGTAACATCTCTTCTCACATAAATATTGAGTGAATTCAAGGGAAAATTAGTGAAACATTCTAAAATCTTTGGAAGCTGCTCAAAACAGAGATGTATGTATTATCATCTGTAGAACTCAAACTATCTAGATACCATTTAGACACTAGTGACCAGAGTTTGAGGTATATACATCCCTTCCTCCCTCCTTTACTTCAACAGTTATCAGGTATCTTTAAAGAAACTCCCTAATGTTAGGATTGGGCTGGATAACTTAGATTGGCTGGAAAGGTAGGGTGAGACCAGCTGTGAACTTCAATAGATTTACAACTTTGTCCTGGACATAAGGTATAAGCACGGCTAATGTGTGTTATGAATCTAACCAAGCCATGATTGACAAATATGGTCTAAACAAGGAGGAAGTAAACTAAAACCCATGATCCAAATCCAGCCTGCTGCTTGTTTCGATGAATATAGTCTTACTGGAACACAGCCACACTCGTTTGTTTACTTAGTGTCTACGGTTGTTTTTGTGCTATATCACAAAGCTGAGTAGTTGCAGCAAAAACCATATGGCTTACAAAGCCTAAAATATTTACTACTGTGCCCTTTACAGAAAAGGCATGTTGACCCCTGGTCTAGACGTCACTGATGAAGGCAGCCTAAAGTAAAAGGTAAAAATGACAATTGCTGGTGACTTCTGCATGGCTTTACATTAGGATGTCTGGAAGACTGGATTTCAATCTTACTGCTATCACTTACTAGATGCAAGGCTTTAAGTAAATTTGACTTAGTTTATTTTAACTTTGAAACACATGGCAATCAAAAAAAAATGTAATTATGTGTTTTGAGAGAACTCAAAGACAGTATTTACTACACCAAAATAGGAATCAATATTTGTGACTATAACCATCAACAAACTGTATGCCGTGGACAGGTCATATGAGCAGGGGATGAGGCTGAGGGCAGAAGTTAGAATTGTTTAGAAAGCTGTAGTAGGTATGTGGGGATTTTAGTGTAAAAACAGCTTCTGAATAAACTAGTTAACTGATCATCTTATTCTTTTTCTCTTTCTTTTTTTTTTAAATGGAGTCTTGATCTGTTGCCCAGGCTGGAGTATAGTGGTGCGATCACGGCTCACTGCAACCTCGGACTCCCAGGTTCAAGCAATTCTCACTGCCTCAGCCTCCTGAGCAGCTGAGATTACAGGCGCCTGCCACCATGCCTGGCTAACTTTTGTATTTTTAGTAAAGACGGGGTTTTGCCAAGTTGGTCAGACTGCTCTTGAACTCCGAACATCAGGTGATCTGCCTGCCTTGGCCTCCCAAAGTGCTGGGATTACAGGCGTGAGCCACCATGTGCGGCAGAGAATCTTTTTCATACAGAAAAATATTTGACACATATTCTAACAATTAAATATCAGTAGTTAAACAATATCAGTAGATAAGACAAATTTAGGAGGGAAAAGTTATCATTGCTCTGATAAAAGCTAAATTACACCCACTATCCCTTTGAAGAAGGAAATTCCCTCTAATTTCATATTTCCCTCCTCCTTTGATTTCAAACTTTTAAAAACGTTTCTAACAGCTGTAGCGTATGACCCTGGCAACACATCATTTATCCAGGGAATAACATTCATTTTAATATCATTTCACCCAGGAAGCAAGTCCTAAACCCACATTTTCTGATCCACTTAGTTGATAATATTCTTCTAAAAAAATTTCTGGCTGGCAAAAGAAAGATAATTTAATTTAAAGAGATTAGATATATTGCTTGAAATGCAAGTCCCCCAGAATCTGACAGCAGAACAAGACCAGTGAACAGAAAACTCATCTTGCCACCTTGCTAATACAGGCATCAGGGAATTTATAAGTTGGGCCGTCAGTCTTTGCTCCATGGAGTAATGTCTATGTCATTGATTCTTAAAAACTGACATTCATTAAAAGTACCCAGTGTGGGTATGTAGAAGGATTTTTGACAAATCAGCCAAGTGTCACCATTCTGTAAAGGATTATAGAATGATGCTTTGCGGCTTTGAGCTCTTTCTTTAAACTGAACGAATTTTGTCTTCATATAGCACGTGAAAGATCGGGTTTCACTGCCATTCCAAATGGGCTGATTTTGCTTTTTTCTTTTCCCATCAAAAGTTGGGGGAACTTGGGAAACAGGGGAGGGGTAACCTTTACTATTTACTTACTATGAGCCAGGTATGTGAGTTCATTCCATCTATCCATTTATCAAAATATTACATATGTATGTATCTACCTGTGCATGTGATTGTTAAATCAGTTAGGTGTTATGATTTATCCCCATTTTACAGATAAAGAAACTGAGGCTGAAAGAGGTCCAGTCATTTGCCCAAGTAATAGAACATCAGTGAAGAGGAAGTCTATAAACTGTTGGTAGAATATTTGTCAGTGACAGAACAATGTCATGCACTATTAGATTGGTCAAGCTGCTCTTCCCACTTCCACCTTTGAAGGAGAGATAGAAATCCACGCATGCCTGTTGGCTCTTCCAACTTCATCCTCTCCTCAAAAGCCTTGGGCGGAAACACCGTAGCAGTATTTATTATTTTGAAAGCAAGCACACACCTGCCCCTGCCCCCAGTTGTGTTGTTAGATTGGGAACAGTGCCGCCCGTTGCTCTCTGTACCCTCCCCTCTCATTACAGCTCATCCTTGGAACACAATCATTTTCTGTGTTATCCAAAGGTGTCATTACAGGGTGCCTGCTATATAGTTAGTGCAGTGTCAGCATATTTGATGTGGAACTCCCCCGACTGTTACCCCCACCCTCCTAACCTGGAGGATATAACTAGGCCATAAGAATTCCTCTGGGGCTACTGTATTGGGTAGAGACATAGTTGTGTCTGGGGAAACTTTTGCTAGTGACTTATTCTCTATAGCTTTAGGTCAAATTTGAATAAATTCTCCCTTCAATTCTAGGGAAACAATAAACCCACAATTTGTGATGGAAAAGTCAAGTGCATTTGCATAAAGGCTTTGAGGAGGCCAAAAAGAAGACAGGCCATGAAATGAAAAACTAGAATTAAAACTTGTATATAAATTGGAATTTTAAAAATATCAGCCTGATACTAAAGATTAAATAAAATCAGCCTAAGTACCTTAGCTACAAACAGCCATCAAGTGCCAACTGCCTCCTGGGAGCTCCTGGGAGCTCCTGGGAGATACAAATGCTGAGAATCCTCCAAGGGCTCCAAAGTCCTCAGGGAAGGTCAATTTACTAAGGGCATTGGGCACAAGTGCAGAACTCATTGGCACGCCCCCTGTGCAATGCACAGCCCCAGGAGGGTTGCAGATTAAAGAAATACACAGGACAGGGGTGGGATTCCTTGGAGAGAACTTCCTAGAGGGCAGCATTTCTTTGGGGAATGCTGAAGGTTGAGATAACTGTGAAGGTATCTTCAACTTCTCTGGGCTCCTTGACCACAAGAACTTTGTGTTAGTCACCTGGGGTACCTTCTATACCTCAAAAATAGATTGTCTTAATACATGTTTGTGAACTTCATGTGGATTGAATTGAGCCAAGCCCCAAGGACGGTATCTAGTAAATTATCAGCAGAATTCTGCAAGGAAAGAAAGGAGTTGTGGTAGGGGTAGGGAGAGATGGGAATATGGAGTTTGTGTGTGTGTGTGTGTGTATGTAGGGAAGGGTATATTAAAGGCAGGGGTTCATAAGGTGACATAAGGCTCATTAAGTAGATAGAACCACTATGCATTGTTGAGGGAAGTGCCATAAAAAGCCCCAGGGAACTCACTTGTTAGTTGGGGGCTCAGGATGACCAGGGTCCAGTGAGGGTTCCTAACACTATGGATTGGAGTCCTTCAGAAGAGGTTGTGCTCCTTGGGAATCAAGGCAGGTGGCGGTGGGGTGTCTGTGAAGAAAGAAGGGCTTGGGGCAGTTGACTAAGGGAATTGCTATGTGACCAGGGAAATATCACCTTAAAAGAGGGATCACTTTTCCAACTGCTGTGTGTGTTCACCAAGGCAGATACTAATCAGAATAGCAAGAGTTACTAATAATAGCTAATATTGATTGAGCACATATAGGTCAGGCGCTGTGCCCAGCACTTTACATGGATTAACCAAATGATCATGCTAAAAATATTTATGGGGTGCCTACTGTGTGTGTCAGGCATCGTTTAAAATACTGGATATTCATCAGTGAACAAAAACCATAAAACTTCTACCCTGACAGAGCTCTTAAAGTTATACTTCCTAATAGACCAATAAGAGGCAATATTGGGAGCAACAATAGGTAATAGGTACAATAGAACAATAAGATAGGTCATAAAGGGAGCAACTGAGGTGCCGTACAGAGCGATTAAGTAATTTGTCCCAGATTACATGGGTAATCATCAGTGCATTGCTTTGTGAATATAGTCAACACCAAGTCCCTGCTATATAAATGAGACTGGGGTCAGTCCTAAGAATATCGAAATGGCTTAGGTATACTGCATGCTCTGGATGAGCTTCCAGTTGAGTGGAGATGATGAGCATGCAGACAGTAATGGTAGGTTAATGTGGCACATACAAGGTGTGAAGGAAGTCTAGAGCAACTAGCTTTTCCAGTGGGGCAGGGAAGATTTCCTTGAAGGGCTACAAGATGAGTAGGAACTTACTGGGTAGAAAAGTAGGCTGGAAGTCAAGAGGACATTTTAGACAGGGAAAGGTAGCATGCTGAAAATGCACAGAGGAGAAGAGGTAGGGAGGATGCTAGCCTTTGCCAATTAATGTTATCTTGTACCGGCGCTTCACATATTTTTAAATTAAATATTACATGCATAGAAAGAATATTATTTCCATTATATATGCAACAATTAATATGACTGTGTACCTAACTGCATAGCTTAATGAATAAAATATTGCTATTAAAAATTAGTTTTCAAGAAAGTTAGGACAGATTGAATCATTTGTCCGAAGTCATCGAGTTAGGGAATGGTAGAGCCAGGCTTGCTGCCCATCCTGTTTGGTCTTAAAACTGTCATATTGGAGTCAGCACGCCTTCTTCTTGCAGGTGGGTAGAATACTTAGACAGTGGTGGGAGTTACTGCATAGAAGTTTTCAGTGTGCCAGTGAGAAGGAAAGAAGGAGAAGAGTCTATTCCCACTGCTGTCCTCTGATTAGACAGAAAGACAACAAACGTGAGAGAAAACAGTTTCTTCAATTAGTGATAAATCTCCAGAGAAGCAGACATAACAGGGTGCTGGACCTGGGAAAATAAAGTAACTGTGGGCCACATGTATTTCTGCTTTCACCAGAATGGTCAGAGTGGGCCTCTGGAAAAGAGACTTTGATCTAGTTCCTGGATGATAATAAGGCACTAGTGATGCAAAGTCCTGGGGGAACATGCTTCAGGCAGAGCAAGCAGTCAATGCAAAGGCCCTGAGTGGGGGTTATTTTATTTTCTTCTAAGGTGGGTGTAGTTGAGACTTTCAGAAGATCAAATACTTTGACCATAAGACCTTGGCCCCAGGGGCGTTCACCTTTCTACATATGCTTAAATTACATGTGCAGCAAAAATACAAGTATTGCCCAAACGAAACACTGCATTAGTGTTAAAATTAGTACTCAATTAAAGCCAAATATCACCATCATTGAATAAACTTCTAGGAGTTAAGAATAAGTATGATACATTATTTTAAAATAAATCATTGTGACAATTTTATTATTAAAATTTTAGTAGTGGTTGTCATTATAGTGCAGGAACTTTCGGCACTACATAGAAACTCACTTTAAACTGACATACTTAATAATATTACTAGACTTATGTTCACAACAGAATATAATTCAGGAAAAAAGGCTTTTAGTAACATATTTTCTGGGAGGAACTTTGTTTTAAGGACACAGATTAATCAATTTCAAAAACCTTTCCTCTTTAAATATTGAAAATGTAATATACTTAATAGTATATGATATAGCATCATTTTAACAGGCTTTTTTGTTTAAAAGTTTAGCTTTCATGAGGGCTGGGGGAAGAGGGAGACTGTAAGGGCTGTCTTCCTAAAATTGTCTCGTCAAGTCAGTTATTTTGAAGTTTGGTAAGAATAAAATATGTTTGAATTTCTCATTTGTGTCTAATAATTTCCTCTTTTCTTCATATTCTTTTTATTTTTCATTTTGTCTGGATCAAGGATAATTTACTATGAATGTTATTGTACATGACTGTGGAGTTTTTCTTCCTCATGCAATTTTGATATGGTGGATTTGACATTCTGCTTTTAATTTGTCCTCACAAGATATGAAGAATTCCCTTATAAATAAGACTTTTTCTTAAAAGAATTTTGGCCTAAATGGAATTAAATAATGACAATTTAAATACACTCCTTAGTGGTTTTTTGTTTTTTAAATGTAATGGATGCTAATACACCAAACAATTCGACAAGGACTAGAATTATGATATAATTGAATCTCTATTATTCTGCCTTGTATTGTTATTTAAATTCCTATATTTAAAGAATTCCTTGGCTCAAAAAGGATGTAAGTTAACTAGCTAATTTTTATTTGAAAATAGCAAGAAAATCTAATGACGCACCTCATTTATATCACTGACAATATTTCAGTGTAACAATCAGAAGTAATGGTTATTGGTCATATGATCATGGATGATGAACAATACCAGGGAAGCCAGAAGTGACTTTAGAGTGAACATTTGGTGATTCAGCCCTTTGAAGGCTGAAGCTGAAGCTGAAATCAGAATTATGGCCAATTCTCTGGGCCTGTTAGCTCATGCCTGTAATCCCAGCACTTCAGGAAGCTGAGGCAAGTGGATCATCTGAGGTCAGGAGTTCGAGACCACTGCAATTCAGCCTGGGTGACAGTAAGACCCTGTCTTTAAAAAAAAAAATATATATATATATAGCCAATTTCAAGATTGAGACTGGCCTCCAATGAACTCCTTTCCTCATTTAGTGTAGGTTCTCATCTTTTTTCTCTTGCTTGTTAAAACATTTTATTGAACCGTAACATATGATGAAAAGTTCTCAAATCGTAAGTATTCAGTTTGACTAATTTTCAAAGGTAAATGTTCCCAAGTAACTTGCACCCAGATCAAGAAAAAAGCCAATAGTAGCATCTCTGAAGCATCCTTCATGCCCCTACCAGGAACCACCATCATCAGGGGATGCAATTAACCTGACCCCTAACACCAGAGATGCACTGCCTATTTTGAACTTATGTAAATGGAATCATCCATGTGTATTCTTTTCACGTCTGCTTTTAGCTGGGCCTCATGATTGTGAGATTTATCCATCTCATATGGAGTTGTAGATCATTCACTATTATTGCTGTATAGTATTCCCTTGTGTAAATGCATTCAGATTTATTTATCCATTTTGCTGTTGATGGGCACTGAGCCATTTCTTAGGCCCTTAATTTTTATTGAAGACTTATTTTAAAAAAGAAAGGCACAAAAATGCTGCTTCTGTACTTCTTATAAAACTTATCTTTGAAGACCTTGCCCATTAGACTATTTAATGGCCTCTAAGTCATCCTGCCATGGGTTTTAGAATTTACTGCCAGAGAAAAGCTTCAACTCTCTTGAGGAATTAATATGCTTCCTCTTTTCTTTTAATACGTGTGCTTATTATATCCTACCTTGTCCCAGAAAGAACTAGTCAGCTTAATTAAATAAAGAAAACCTTGCAAAATTAAAAATTCAACATGGATAAAAACAGTGAGGCAAAGTGAGAACTCCTGTAGCCTCTTCCAATGACTTTAGCATGGAAGCTTATTCGAGCATTGGTACAATGAAGGTCTATACTCTTTCTTACTTGGGACCCAGATTCCCAAGATTCCGTGTAAGCTTCACATCGGCTGATTCTAAAAGGGAAATGAGATCCTTAGAAAAATCAGATCAATTCTGCCAAACTGTATCCAAACTATCAGAGCAAGCTAGCTCCCCCTAAGAAGGGCACCTCCCTATTCCGGGTATCAGAGAGACACATTTCTCTCAAGTGTTCTCCAGCAGAGGACCACCTGAATACCTGTAGGTAGATATGGTGATGAGTTTAATTGACTAGTTTTTTTGACCACCCCTCATCCCAGGATGATGGCATCACCTCAGGGAACAATTCAGTAAAAGCATTTAAGCACTTCAGAGAAGGGGCGGGGAGGCCTTGAGAAAGAAGTTATCCATCACCATCTTGAGATATACTTTCCAGTTGACCTGACTTGATCCAATGGTAGGGTTTGTGCATCTGGATAAAGATATACTAAAAATCTTTTGGGTTACTCCCCACAAATATCGCTTCCTTCCATAAACTTGATGGACACAGGGTAATAAAAAGCTGAAGATCATACTCCTTATCGAATATCAAGGATATAGCTAGTGTATGTTGCCGGTTAGAGGTGATGCTGCTTGCTGTAACACCCAACTCAAAAGGAGGTGGAATTAATATCCTTTTATGGGAACTGAGGATCCCAAACAGAAGATTGTCCATCTCTTCTTTGGCTGGGCCAAGATTCTCCATAAAAAATAATTGAGTCTATTCTCTCTAATGCTTATACAAATGGCTCACCAGAGTTATAGAGTTCTGCTCTGTACAGCAAGTCCTGAATGGCTGTAACCTGAACATTTTAAAGCAGGTGTAGCCAAATGCCCAAACTGGCCATTTAACACCAGACTCCCCTTTGATGCCTAGTTCGACAGTTACATAATATCATATTTTCTTTCCTGCTCCAGCTGGCAAGAATGTAAGACAAAATTTTTCTCTTTAAAGCTTAATCACAGCAGCAATGCTTATCTTTACATTTAAAATAGCAAGTACAAAGTACAACATTCAGATGATGGATACCCCAAAAGTCCAGATTTCACCACTACGCAATATATTCATGTAACAAAATTGTACTTCTACCCCTTAAATGTGTACCAATACAAAAGTAAAATATTTACTGCTTCTACTTTGCTTGACTTGGGCTTCCTCCTCTCTGTTCCTGTTTTATATACTAATTGTAGATAAACCTTATTTTGAGAAAGGTCTCAAAGCTTTTCAGGAAAAAAGACATGGTCTAAACAAATTTCAAGAGAACAAAGTATAATGGGTGACGAAAGTGATCAAAAATTGGCAAATGTCTAATACTTGTCTCCAGTTCTTCTGCCCTGGGAATAAAGACCTGTCTGTACAAAGGCTTCATGACAGCTGAAGGAACAAAATGCTCTCCTGAAAGAAAAGAGCGAGAGTTGCACCATCTTCCCTCCACCCCTGCTCTGCAACGAAACAATGCCTCCCAAAGGAGCTGGCAGCTGGCCCTTGGCAGGTGGTAGAAACAGCATTGCAGCTTGCACAAAAGGAGAAAACCCAAACTTTCAGCTTTGGGGAGCAGCGCGATGATTCTGCCCACTACCTCTTAAAAGAGGGCGGACTGCCACGTCGACCAGCCAAACTGAGCAACTGAATGCCACATGCTTCTTCTCCCCTTCAGCAATTCCCATTTTTGTTCCTGTTGCCTCAAGGCTGATGGCAGCAGTAGCAAGGGGAGGCTGACGGTACCGACATGCAGCTCCTGACCCTGTCCCCTCGGCTTCTTGTTCATTCTAAGTGTGTTTACTCACCTTTTGTTGATGTGCCTGCAGTGACTGCTGATGTGCCAGGAGGGCACAGGCAGAACAGCCAGGAAAGGGAGGATGGAAGGTCAAGGTCTGCAAAAGAAAAGCTGGTGATGTGCATCCTCCACATAGAGGGCCTGGGGAGGAACTGGGTTAAAACTAGACTTGGATTGATTATGGGGTTGCTGTTTTTTTGATGTTTATTTTTGACTCTTTGGTAGGAAACGAATAAATAGAACAGTTTTGATGGAACAAGAACATATTTTACCCTTTTCTCCTGTTCTCTCATCTGCCCAGCTACTGCCCTACCTGAAGATAGCAAAATCAGTGATGACATGAAGGTCACAACTCTGTATTTATACAGGTCATTACTATAGTAACTTATTTCTATATTTCTTTCATTATCATAATGCATGTATTGATTAACTCCTATATGGAAAAGTGAAACAAGCATGGTATTTGCAGCCAGAAAGACCTAGCTTGCCATCTACTAGCTTGGAAAGTTTGGACAATTTCCTTGACCTCCCTGACCCTGAATAAATGCATGTGAAGACTAGAGATGATAATGCATACCTCATAGGGTTTCTATAATAATTTAATGGAGCTAACCTATGCAGGTTACCTGGTACAATACGTAATCGGCATTCAGTAAGTGAATACTATTATTACCAGGATAATGGCCATGCGAGATGCATTCATTTTAGAAAGAATTGCATCTGTTATTGGAAAGTTTGTGGCCTGATGACACTAAATATATAATATTCTTAAGATTTCAAAATGTTTAATTGTCTTTTCTGGAACCATAATGGTGATCAGGGTCACTGAAGTTGTCACTGAATCATTGGATTAAAAAGCCCAAGATTTCAAAAGGCTGTTCACCCTTGTCAGCTGCAGGGGCAGATTAGCACCAGGAATCCTTAGGAGAGAAGAAAGACGGTAGATTTCTAGGCCTGCTATTGTGGCATAGTAGACAAGTAAGAGAGAGGGCTAAACAGTTCCTGTCTTAGCATTTTGCTAAGCTCTGTGACAAATCACAGAAAATAATAAAACAGTTACTGTTTATTCACCTATTCAGTGTCAGGCACGCAAGCACATATACCATCTCATTTAATCTTACAATGATTCCATAGGGTAGGGATTTCTATCACTTCACAAATAACCCCATCTACGGTGGATAAAAATATCCTCACAGAGCTCCGGGAAGGGTCAAACGAGATGCTAGATACCAAGGTATTATTATTGGTATCACGTAAATTATTCCATGATTTACATGGAATGCTCACTGGTCATTTGGAAATTGTCTGTACTTTCCTTTTTATGGAACTGTTACTTTGCTGAGTCTTACCGCTTGAATAACTTGCACGCTGCTTCTCACAATTACCGACATACTCTGAACCCATTTCAACTCCCTAAGGATTTAACACCAACTACTTGAAGGCATTGAAATGGGGTTGCAGCAGTAGTTCCCTGTCATGGGGTTTATGTTCTTTGTGGGGTTCTAGAGAAGATGGCACAGAATACTGAGTATGGTTATGGGGCAAGAGAAACATAAGCAGTTCTAATGGATTTTGGAGGAAGGAATATGCACCTCTGGTCTGGGGTATCTGGGAGGGAGGAGAGGGATCAGGCATCGCAGAAGTCTTCCTAAGGAGGTGGTATTTGGGGATGGACCTTGAAAAATTAGCATGAGGTTTTAAGTGAATTTTTTTTTACCCAATTATTAAATCGATACACACACATTATTGAAAACACATTAAAAAAAAGTAAAAAGAAATTCACCACATGCCAATCAATCAAGGACATTATTGTTATACTTTAGGGTATATTCTTACAGTAGTTTTCTCTGTACTGAAGTACATATGTACATATATATTCATAAGTATAATTAGGAAAATACATAACACATAGTTTTATATCATTTTTCTTGAAATTTTAAGTATTTTCTGTTTGTAAAGACTTTTCATAAATATGATTTTAATAATTACATCATAATGTCCCAAAGAACACATATGCAAACATATATATAACAAATGTCCATGTTTTAAAATACTCTGATTTACCGTTTATAACTATTGTAAATGATCCAGTGATATGTTTAGCAGAAACAATAAGGCTATATGCCAATTATCTGATCTGGGACATTGACAAGTAGGTTGAAAGTATCAAAAATTTGTTGATGGCTAGCATTTCCCCTCTTCAATTATTCCTGCCTATTAAACTTCATAAATCATTTCACTCTCATTTTCATAATCTTTCAATGAATTTCAGTTGCTTATGACATAAAACCCTGATTCCTTTCCCATCCTATAGGCTCTCCAAACCCAACCCAACTATAAATAAGTTATTGTCTCCCACCATTGCCTTCCTCTGCAAAGATGCGGCCCATCCTTCCACTGTCTTACTGTCTTTTCCCTATTTTGAGCTCCTTAGCCTTATTAAGACCCTCTGTCCCTTGACCTTTCCCTTTCCTCTGAATCTGTCCCTTTCCTCTTAGCCTCACTTCCTACCCTCTCTGGTTTAAGCCTTGTCAGAGCCAATTTTCTGTGATGCTATATCTTATGTGTCAAGGGTCCTCACTTCCACAGGCACCTTAGAAGGTGCTGTGCCTGATTTTGCATTTGTAATTTCATATTTTTTTCTTAAAGAGGAGCCTCAAATTGTATAAACTTTAGACCCCGCAAAACCTGAATCCTATGGTGGGCACTGCATCACTGAAGCTTCCCCATTGCTGAGTTATTTTATTTTGTTTTATTTGCTCTAAAACTTTTTACGTTCTACATTCTAGAATTTAACATATGGAGTTATAATTGTTTGTATGATCATAAGTTCCTTGAGGGTAGGAACTGTGTCTTATTTACATTTATGCTCATAATAAATGCACATTTGTGGAATCCCTTGCTAACTTGTGCTATCTTGCATCGAGCTTCTCCTTTCCAATATTACTACTACTACTAACTATAAAAGTTTAGAAAGCACACTGTGTGAGATTATATTTTCCAAAAATGGCTACAGGATTAGTTCCAGCGCTATATGTTCTTTTACATCGTTGAGACTCCCCTTTCAGAGCTGAAGTCAATTTCCTCTCCTGGTGAATCTGCATAGGCTCCAACCAATGGAATATGGGGAAGTGATATTATGTGACTTCTAAGGCTAGGTCATAAAATAGGATGCAGCTCCTCTGAATGTTTCCCTTTGGAATCCAGTCATCAGTTGTGAGGAAGTATAGAGCCATGTAGAGAGGCCACATGGAGGTGGCCCAGCTGACAGCTCCAGGTAGGTTTAGGGTCCAGCCAGCATCAGCCACCAGACACGGGAGTGAGGGAGCCTTCTCATTATTCCAGTCCCTAGACTTTAAGCTGCCCCAGCTGATGTCAAGTGGAACAGAGACAGCTGTCCCTACTAACCCCTGCCCAAATTGCAGCTAGAGAGCAAAAGAAATGTTGTTTTAAGCCACTAAATTCTGAGGTCATTTGTTTCACAGCAATGAATAACCAGGCTGTGTGCTGAAAGCATGGCATGTATTATCTTCTTAAGGAAACTGAGACCCAGAAAATGCAAATAACTTATCCAAGTTCACCCCCTCTCCACCTAGCCAATTTTGCCTACATTCAGGCCATATCTCCTCTACCATGTTTTTCAGCTTGTTTAAATGCACAGAAATCCCCTTTCTTTAACTCTAATAGCCAATAGTCAATGTTCTTGACATCTGTATCTCTTCCCAACAGCCCTGCGATGTAGATTATCACATTTCTTGTTTTACAAATGAAGAAACAGACAAACAAAGAGGTTGGAAACTTGTTTAAGGAAGCAGTAAGTGGCAGACATCTGTCTTCATATCTCATCATTTAAGTTTAAACTATTCCTTCCCTTCATTGACTTCCTAAAGTCCTTATTAGGATCACTTATTTAGACTTATTTAATGCAACATTTGTCTTTTTTGATTATCTGCTTTGCACACTGGATTGTACACTCTTGGGCAATGTCATACATTTCTTTCAGATCCTCCTTAGCACTCTGCACAACGCTAGGCACAAAATGGGCATTCGCCAATTGAGTAAATGTAAATAGTTATATTCAGCATCCACAAAAAGTAGTTTTACAGTTACATGAAGAAAAAAAACGAAACACATAGAAACACAGAAGTAAACCTTGCAACTAAATTAGTAAGGGCTTTAGGCAAGTCTTAGTGATTTTCGTTTTTTCTACCTAAAAATATATTTTCTCCTTTTTTTAAAAAAAGTTTAAGTCTATCACAAGCATAAATATTTGGTTGTATCTTTTTATAGTAGTTTATTTTTTTGAAAAAAATCTGGCTTTCTTGTCAGGCTGTGTTTTTATAGTGTTGGAATCTTTTTTTTTGTTTTGTTTTGCTTTTTTTTTTTTTTTTTTTTTTGCAGATGAGATATTTAAATAAAGGCCTCATACTGATCTCACTTATTGCTGCAGGCTCCAGCTTCGAATTGAAACTTGATCAATATGGCTATGAGGCAGTCTGGAACATTAAATAAGACCTTGTTAGACTGAAACTTTTATTTTGCTTTACTTAGTTTGGAGGGGCAGGAACAGTAAAGATGCGGGGAGAGCTGGCTGCACACCTCAGTCTGTTGCTGGGAGTGAGTCTTGATTTTATTTCCTGTAGTATCCTCTGTGCAGTAATCCTAGCTGAGTGGTGACAAGTTGGGTGGCACCATTATAACTATTGCATATGCTCACAGTCTCATTTTCCCATGTCTAGGTTATATCGTTTTCTGTTTGTTTGTTTGTTTGTTTCTGAGATGGAGTCTCGCTCTGTCACCCAGGCTGGAGTGCAGTGGCGTGATCTCAGCTCACTGCAACCTTCGCCTCCCGGGTTCAAGCGATTGTCTTGCCTCAGCCTCCTGAATAGCTGGGATTACCAGTGCATGCCACCATGCCCGGCTAATTTTTGTAGTTTTAGGAGAGATGGGGCTTCACCATGTTGGTCAGGCTGGTCTCGAACTCCTGACCTTGTGATCTGCCTGCCTCGGCCTCCCAAAGTGATGGGATTACAGATGTGAACCACCACACCCAGCAGGTTATATTTTTTAAACATCCTCTTCAAAGCTGTTGAGAAATGTAGAGGAAAGGAATGACATTTTGAGAGCCCCATCCAAGAACTAACAAGATGGGTCTTTAATTCACCATCAATGCCCATTTACTGTGCACCTACTATGAGCCAGGCAAGGGGATATCAAAATGGAAAACACAGTGTCACTGATCTCAAAGAACTTATAGCTTTGCCTACCATTTCAAGGCAATATTCCCTGTGAAAGATGTGAGGGTGAAAAGAACTGTCAAAATGTAATCCCATCTGACATGACTGTTCTCATAGCAACGCTACCTTATAGTTCTGTTGAATATGGGTCTTATAGCATTTTGAATTAATAACCAGTTTCTCAATATAAACTGCTTAATGTGGAAGATCCTTACTGTCTGCATTTTTCATGCAAGCACAGAGTAAATATAATACAGAAGTGTACAGCCAGGTTGTTATTATTTTCATTTGACATATTTTTTCAGTAACTGTTATTAGTAATCATTATTTAACTAACTGTGTTTTAGTACAGCAATTCTCAACCATAGCTACACATTAGAATCACCTGGGGAACCACTTAAAAATACTTTTGGGGGCCTACTCTAACCAATTCAATCAGTATATCTGGGAGTAGTAACAGGGGCGTGGTACTCTTACAAGCTTCCAGAGATTCCAACATGCAGACACATTTGAGAACAAACTGGTTTAGTGGTCGCATCACTCACCACCGAATCTTTTGCACCAAAGTTCACCTATTTTTTAAATAAATTATTTTTTTAATTCCGGTAAAATACACATAAGCTTCACCATCGTAACCATTTTAAAATATACAGTTCAGAGGCATTAAGTACATTCACATTGTTGTGCAACCAGTACGACCATCCATATCCTGTTCGTCTTGTAAAACTGGAACCTCTGTACCCATTAAACTCTAGCTCCCCATTTACCCTGCCCCATCCCCAGCCCCTGGCGACCACCATTCTACTTTTTGCTTCTACGAATTTGACTACTCTAGGTACCTCATATAAGTGGTATATATAAAACACGCCACTGAAATTTTATTTAGCCTTAAATAGGAAGGAAATTCTGTTTCATGCTACAATGTGTATGAACTTTGACGACAGTATGCTAAGTGAAATATGTCAGTAATGAAAGTACAAAGCATCTCCACTCTTAACTTCTCATTTTCAATTTTTCCCTTGTTAACTCTCTTCTGATTCTGATAGCACATGAAGTTAGTATCGTTGCTTGTCTTTGCACATGAGTGAGAATTTGGTGATTGTGCTCAGGTTACTGTTTATTACTATTTATGGTCAGCACTGTCTAGACATTACTCCTTTATCTTTCCGTGTTTGTGTATTAATCTGATTTTCTTTTCCTGCCTGTATTCTTCTGTGATATTTTCTTTGTCCTTAAAATTCAGCAATGTACAGGGCTGGGTCTGAAAGTTTATCTGTTTTAACTGGGTCTATCTAAACACCAGTGAGTTCTTTTTACATTGAGGCACAAATTTTTCTTCATCTCAGGAACATTTTCTTCTATTATTTTTTTTAGTTTTGCTCCTCTCCTGTTTGCTTGGAATTCTTCTGAAATGGTTATTCTACATATATTGTAGAGGTTCCCAAGCTTGTTTACACATTAGACTCACCTGGGGGTAAACCTTCATCAGCCAGGGTCATACCCAGTCTAATTAAATCAGATGAGCACAGGCATTGGGAGTATTTAAGGCTCCTCAGCTGATTCCAATGTGCAGGCAAATTTGGAAACCACAGATGTGTTACCTTCCCTGGATGTGTTGTTCATTTCGTCTTCATCGTTTTCAGGTGTGCTCTGCTGGGCACCACAATGTACGGTTCAGACATTTAAAGCCTTACTCAGCCCAGTTTCCTCTCCATTTGCCCCCTGGGGAAGGTAAGTGTATAACTATCTCTTTGTATTTCTTCAGCAGTCCAAATCCTAATTTACAAAAGTTTATTGTTTGGATTTCTCATTTCTATTAATACCTTCTTCAGTTTTTCCATTTCTTACCATGGTGCCATTACTTAGACTCTGGATTTCCTTTTGTCTTATGAAACAGTAGTTCTTAAACTTGGTTACACATTGGAATCACGTGAACTTCACTTGCAGCAATTCAGATTTAATTATTCTGGTGTCCAGAATGCATTAAAGATATTTAATGCTCCCCAGGCCATGTTAATGTGCAGCCAAGATTGAGAACCTTTTATTAATCTATTATGTGAGTACGTGTGTGTGTGATGATGATGCCAGTGGTCTTCAAACTTTAGTATACATCAGAATCACCTGGAGAGCTTCTTCAACCAAAATGTGGGTTCTCCCTTCGGAGTTTCTGATTTAGAAGATCTGAGGTAAGGCCCTGTAATTTGCATTTCTAACATCTTCACAGGTGCTGCTCTTGCTGGTCTGGAGACCCTATTTTAGGAAGCACTCGACTAGGATATAGTTGGGCCAGAATCAGACTCCCGTTAATAATGCACTTCCCTTCTTATATGGCTTAGCTCTGTGTCCCCGCCCATATCTCATCTTGAGTTGCAATTTCCACGTGTTGGGGGAGGGGCCTGGCGGGCAATGATTGAGTCCTGGAGGCAGACTTCCCCCTTGCTGTTCTCCTGATAGTGAGTGAGTTCTCACGAGATCTTGTTGCTTGAAAGTGTGTGGCACTTCCCCTCTTGCTCATTCTCTCCCGCTCCACCGTGGTGAGACGTGCTTCCTTTTCCTTCCGCAGTGATTGTAAGTTTCCTGAGGCCTTCCAGTCATGATTCCTGTGAAGCCTGCAGAACTGTGAGTCAATGAAACCTCTTTTCTTTATAAAACTCTTTTCTTTTTATTTCTTCTAAAAAAAGGGGATGCATGTGCAGAACGTGCAGGTTTGTTTCATAGGTACACGTGTGCCATGATGGTTTGCTGCATCTATTGACCTGTCCTCTAAGTTCCCTCCCCTCACCCCCAACAGGCCCTGGTGTGTGTTGGTGCCCCTCTCTGTGTCCATGTGTTCTCAATTAAACCTCTTTTTATAAAGTCTCAGGTAGTTCTTTATAGCAGTGTGAGAATGGACTAATATACCTTCCCACCTATGATATATTGAATTCATTAAAATGTGGCACTTACTACATATTTTATATGCGTTAATATAATTAGAGGTATTGATACTAAACATCGTAAGAACTCAGATAACTCTGGGTCTTCTGGAGTGCTGTTTGGCAAGTACTTCATAAGGCAAGGTATAAAAAAAAATGGAGTATCAAGTATCAAATGAATGTGTTTGCTCCCATCACTGTTTCCGTATACCTTGAGGTTCCTAACATCTTAAACCTTCTGCAAGTCAGCAAAGTCTTTGTCTTTTGGGATGCTGGAGTTTCCTTCTGTGATAGCACCATTTACTGCCTTGATTGCAGTTTCTAATTTAGCAATATTTTCACTTTCATGCAGTTTTTCCTTCTCTCTTTATGACTACCTGTTCTAGTTTTATAAACACAATTTCCTGTTGAAATACATTGAGAACATAGAAAGTTGCTAGATTTTTTTCTTTCAGTAATTTTCATAGGAAGGTATTGGCTCTGATTTCTCAGTGTTTCTCATTTTGTAAGCTACAGAAATGCCTGTTTCTGCTGATTTTTCTTCCTGGGCTTGCCTTTTCCAGAGGAGTTTTATGCTTTTCTAGCATTGGAGTCCAACATGGGTCTTCTCAGATTCTGTGCATGTTCTATTTCAAATATTCTAGCCAAAAGTTTATTTTTCTTTTTTTTTCCTTTGCCAGTGTGAATTTGCAATAGCCTGGGGGTGTAGGGAGGATGCCAAATTCAGAGTCTGTACCAGGAGGTTGTGCCTCTGGGCTGAAAAATGAATGATTATTTGTGGCAAACATATATGACCTAGCTACTACTCCATCTCTTTGCCTAGTGAGGCCTACAGCATGAAAGATGGATCAGGATCACACAGCTGTGGTTTACCTCCTTGGGATGGCCATTGGGAGTTTTTATGCTTGCAAGGGCAATGGTGGGAGTCACATTCCTACCTGTCCTTCAGCCTGCCCTCACCTCCAGCCCTCATCCTTCCCTAGTGGGTGTCTTCATCTTATTTCCTAGGTGAGCTGTTTCTTCCCAGATGGGGAAGTTTAGGACTAGATCAGTGGTCTCCAAACATTTTAAATAAAGACCAAGATAGTAAGTATTTTAAGTATTTCAGGAGACAGCTCTGTCAAAACTACTTACGTCTGATGTTTTAGAGGGAAAGAATTTATAAACAAACAAATGGGCATGGTTATACTGCAATGAAATTACTTAAAATTTACCCCGAGAAACAGTCTTCCTTACATGTCACCCACCCACCCAAGTGCTATCAACCAAAAAGTCTTCAGAGTTTTTGATGTCCTCTTTTCTCAATTTGTAATTTTATACAGGATTTTTCTCATTTTTTTTCATATTTGTCACTTCAAAGATTATAATGGAAGGGAGTCAGACACATATCCTAAAATTGGCACCTTTTCAGGAATCCCAAGTGTGTGTGTGTCTGTGTGTTTAATGTTCAGTATCACATTTAAAAATATGTTTAATGTTAATTTCACACAAATATCCTGATTCAAAAAATAAAGCACAGTATCTGAAGCCTAGTTTTTAATTTTCTTTCAAAAAATTCTAATTTAATAACACAAAACTACTCTTCTCCAGAAATAACTAGGTTTATGTGATGCCTGAATTTCACGACTTGACTCCATTTTTTTTCACTGCTGCAAAAAAGATTTTTATGATTAGAGAAAAATAAGTTTCTTCTCAGATTCTGTAACTTAGAAAATACCAGCACTTGAGTCCCATTCAAGGAATAGTGAATACTGAAAAATCGCCCTCTCAAGGTCATATTTTTATTTATTTATTTTTTGGTTTTTAAGTTTGTACAATTTTTATTGTTTACAATTTTTTAAATTACACTTTAAGTTCTGGGGTACACGTACAGAATGTGCAGGTTTGTTGCATAGGTATACATGTGCCATGGTGGTTTGCTGCTCCCATCAACCTGTCAACTACATTAGGTATTTCTCCTAATGCTGTCCTTCCCCTAGCCCCCGACCCCCAAAAGGCTGGTGTGTGATGTTCCCCTCTCTGTGTCCATGTGTTCTCATTGTTCACCTCCCATGTATGAGTGAGAACATATGGTGTTTGGTTTTCTGTTCCTGTGTTAGTTTGCTGAGAATGATGGTTTCCAGCTTCATCCATGTCCCTGCAAAGGACATGAACTGATCCTTTTTTATGGCTGCATAGTAGTCCATGGTGTGTATGTGCCACCTTTTCTTTATCCAGTCTATCACTGATGGGCATTTGGGTTGGCTCCAAGTCTTTGCTATTGTGAATAGTTCTGCAATAAACATATGTGTGTATGTGTCTTTTTTTTTTTTTTTTTGAGACGGAGTCTCCCTCTGTCTCCCAGCCCAGGCTGGAGTGCAGTGGCGCGATCTTGGCTCACTGCAAGCTCCGCCTCCTGGGTTCACGCCATTCTCCTGCCTCAGCCTCCCGAGTAGCTGGGACTACAGGTGCCCACAACCGCGCCCGGCTAATTTTTTGTAATTTTTAGTAGAGATGGGGTTTCACCGTGGTCTCGATCTCCTGACCTTGTGATCCGCTCGCCTCGGCCTCCCAAAGTGCTGGGATTACAGGCGTGAGCCACCGTGCCCGGCCATATGTGTCTTTATAGTAGAATGATTTATAATCCTTTGGGTATGTACCCAGTAATGGGATTGCTGGGTCAAATGGTATTTCTGGCTCTAGATCCTTGAGGAATCGCAACACTGTCTTCCACAATGGTTGAACTAATTTACACTCCCATGAACAGTGTAAAACCATTCTTATTTATCCACATCCTCTCCAGCATCTGTTGTTTCCTGATCTTTTAATGATTGCCATTTTAACTGGAGTGAGATGGTATCTCATTGTGGTTTTGATTTGCATTTCTCTAATGACCAGTGATGATAAGCATTTTTGCATGTTTGTTGGCTACATAAATGTCTTCTTTTGAGAAGTGTCTATTCATATCCTTTGCCCACTTTTTGATGGGGTTGTTTTTTTCTTGTAAATTTAAGTTCTTTGTAGATTCTGGATATTAGCCCTTTGTCAGATAGATAGATTGCAAAATTTTTTCCCCATTCTGTAGGTTGTCTGTTCACTCTGACGTAGTTTCTCTTGCTGTGCAGAAGTTCTTTAATTAAATCCCATTTGTCTATTTTGGCTTTTGTGGCCATTTCTTTTGGTGTTTTAGTCATGAAGTCTTTGCCCATGCCTATGTCCTGAATGGTATTGCCTAGGTTTTCTTCCAGGGTTTTTATGGTTTTAGGTCTAACATTTAAGTCTTTAATCCATCTTGAGTTAATTTTTGTATAAGGTGTAAGGAAGGGATCCAGTTTCAGCTTTCTGCATATGGCTAGCCAGTTTTCCCAACACCATTTATTAAGTAGGGAATCTTTTCCCCATTGCTTGTTTTTGTCAGGTTTGTCAAAGATCAGATGGTTGTAGATGTGTGGTATTATTTCTGAGACTTCTGTTCTGTTCCATTGGTCTATATATCTGTTTTTGTACCAGTACCATGCTGTTTTTGTTACTATGACCTATGTCTATGGCCATACCACCCTGAACATGCCAGATCTCATCTACAGTCATATTTTTAATTCTGAACAGATGAAAATATGTGAGATGCTACTTGGCTGGAAGTTTAAGTAGTAAATATAAAATAGTTGCTCTGCTCTAGATGACATAAGTGTTTCAGAGGTATAAATTATAGTATCTGGCTTCTAGGAATTAATCGTGGAATTAAAGGGGGGCAACCCAATTGATTGGTTCATTTATTTTTAAAACATCTATTTATTGAGTGTTATTACATATAAGATCCTGTTCTAGGCACTCCAAACA